AACGAAGTTATCCTCCTCTCTCTCTCTCTCTCTCTCTCTCTCTTCTCTCTCTCTCTCTCTCGCCGACGTCGTATTCGATTAGGACGAAAAGAAGACAGGTGAAAAGTATCGAAAAGATGGTTCGTTGACGGATAAGGTGTGGAGATAGGAGAGGGGAAAAAAAATGAGCGGACGCAGTTGGGTGTTATAGGACATACGTGCTATAGGGAGGACGTCAGATTAGAAGCCAAGGCTTGACGAGCAGCAATGCCACCGGGACAAAAACCCGCCCTGAAGCTCTGGCATACATATTTTTTATTATATAAATTGGCGTTACAAAGGTTTCCCAAGAATTTATCGCGTTAATGCCTATTATCGTCCGCCCTTCCATACGACAGCCCCAGCTTTCGTTAACGAGCGATGATACGCGACCTCATCGACTTACCTCTACACCGAATTCTCATCCACCCGGAGAAGAGGGTATAAACCGAATCTATCCGGGGGAGAAGAATAACAGAGGAGAAGAGAGACGTTAAGACGAGGAGAGGAAGAAATCTTGAGAAAAAGAATTTCTCGAAGAAGAAGAAGGAATTTGATGGAATCTGTTGAATATTGGATTATAATTTTGATTCGTTTCTGTGGAAACAAGGAAGGGAATATTTTGACGAAAGCTGCGCCAATCCAGTCTATCAGATCCTTTGCGCAAAGGATTATAAACTCTTTCGAGTGCGGTTAATCCGCGCGAGCCCGGCTATGAAAAATGATCCGCGCTTTTAATCGCGTATCAGCGATGATTACGGAGAGAATCGTGTCAAAGATCGTTCCATAATTCAATACTATTTTCTCCTAAAAAACGAAACGCTATTCCTATTTCCTACCTAAATTTTAAACAATTTACAAATATTATTATAGAAAATAAATAAATAAAAATTATTACTTTTGGAAAGAGAACGAAGAAGAGAGAGAACACCGATTTCGACGTGCGTTTTGCCACGATCAATCCGAAACCCTGTCGCTTTCTTCCGGATTTAGTTTTCCTTGCAAGGATTTCAGGCATGCCTCGAGTGATATTGCCAGTGGCATGCATTGTCCTATTGTGAAACAGAACTACCCCTTTTCTTCCATTTAACCGAGCCCATCCCCACCCGTCCTCGCATCCTCGAGATGTTTTAAATAATATTGAAAATGGAGTTCTGGCCCGATGCCTGCTCGTTCCATATCCCAGGTGGACCGATTCTAAAAACTTCGATTATATCGAGCCGGCCAGAACGACAACCCTCGAGCTGTTAACTTTATTTTAATCTTTCGCGAGAAAGGGAGCCACGATTCTCGAGAAACTTTCATTAAACTTTATACACGGACACGGGGAAAATATTACGAAGAAATCCCTACTTCCGCGGACGCGAAATTGATTTTACTTTTTCATAGCCACCTTCGTTATTCCAACTCCTATTTTCTGATATTCCATAATACCGAAAACCGTTGAAATTGGTTATACAATTTTAATGAAAATTCCGCGATATAGAAAAATGACGCGTGCTAATTTATTCGCGGCTTGTGACTTTGCCCCGTTAAAATTGTCGACGAGGGACGCGCGATTAAATTGGACGAATAACAATAATAATTGGTCGAAGAGGGAAGGAAAGAAAGAATACGTGAAAAAAAGAAGAGAAAGAAAATTGGATGGAAAAAATTAAGTTTTCCTCTTTCGATCGATTTGAGCGTGGTGTGCTGCGTAATATGGAACGCCGACACTCACCGTGCGTATCGAATTTCCTGATGATGGTTTCGATGATCGTTGTCCTGGGCGCCACGTGACCTCGTCTAACAGGCATCGCAGGAATATTCCCAGGTACCTGGGCCGACGAGACGTTTGGCGTTCGATCGAAGGCTCGTTAAGCCTGCTTTTAATAATTAACGTGTGACACTACAGCACTGAAAAAACACTCGCAGCATGCGTACAAGCACGGTAGAAAAAAGCACAGCACGAGTTGAGCATAATGATCATCGAGGAAAAAGAAGAAGCACAAGGCTAAATATCGGCGATTGTTCGTCAACAATTTGTTCCTAAAAACCTGTTCTTCCCTTTTCTCTCTTCTCTTTTTCTTTCTTTTTTTTTAATCTTCTTAAGAAAAACTTCTAAGAAGAAAAGAACAAAAAGATAATCGGAGAAGATTCGTTGCTAATCGGACGATGAATCGAGATGATTCTTTTCTCTCTCTCTCTTTCTCTCTCTCTCTCTTTCTTTCTCTCTTCCGTTCTAAACTTGTTACGTAGATACAAAAGGCGAAGGAAACAATAAAGGAGGAAAAGTGACCAGCAAGAAAGTTGCCGCTTGATGCGTGTATGTATGTGCCTTTGCCTTTTGTCCCTCGAGCAACACCCTCTCCCAAGTTACTTGGCGTCTTTCGCGAGAGGATCGTTGTTTCTTGGTGTTTTTCTTTTTGTACAAAATTCGCATATATGTAGAAGCTGCGTGGACAGAGTCGATACGTTTTCTCCCTACGAGAAGGCTGGAAGGTCTTCGTTTTGACTTCCTTTTGGACCCAATACTCGTCTACCTAAATGTATCTAAGGATCAGAACAAGGTGTAGCCAAATGATGCATCCTCTCCTCTTGATTCGAAGGACAGAGAGAAGGTCGGGGCTTGAACGTCGTCTCATTCGACGTGACACGAGGCCCGACCGAGCGTATTATATGCTCTCCGCTCCAATGTTTTCCTGGCTCAAGACGTACGATCTACGCGAGAAAACATCTATTTATAGTCGATACACCATGCGCAACACGAATCGTGTTCCCACGGATTCCAGAACAGGGTGGGTGGGTAACAGGAATCTGGAAAACGTCTCGTGATATAATTGATATAACAAATAAGACGGTTCTTCGTTTTTGTGCACCACGATTCCCCCCGCTTTCCCCCCACCTTGTTTCACCTTGCTCTTCCCTTCTTTCCAGGCTATTCGAATCCCGCGGAATCCCTCTTCACCCTCTTAAACGTATCCCATATATTTTCTTAGGACAGCGAGTACCTCGACACCCGGATAGATCCTCGAAGAAAATGGAAAACTGTCCGAGCACCAACGTTGCACGAACGTTGTACGATACCACCCTCTCGGCGATTGTTGCCCCGTGGAAAATTCGGAGAAGCTTGGACCTCGTCGGCTCGTCGAAGTCAAACTTCTCTACATCCGGAGGAACGAACAGCGGTAGACAGCTTGCCGGAGAAGCGCATTGTGCGGACATTTCCACAAAGTGTGTTGTGTCGTCGAGTGAAACGAGGTCGGTTGTTCCTTTCTTTCTCTGGTGTGCGTCTCGTCGATTCCACCGTCCTGTTCAATGATGGAACACTATTGGCGGATGAAGCTCGGATACCACGAACGCTGACACCTGTTTCGAGGCTTCGATTCGAACGGAGCGGAGCGGTTCGAACGGGAGAGGAGTCGCGGATATGATCATGGCCGTGGCGAGGGGAGGGGGAGAGAGGCGAAACGAGGCGGAGGAGAGAATCTTAGAGGGTGAAACGAATCGTCGTGGACGACGAGAAGAAAGGCACGTGGTGGATTTGTAGTTGCGTTTACGCCGAAATGCCAAAGCGCGCGGGTTTGCCACTACTTGATTCACTACGATCATACGCGTATACAACGACTCCTCTGAATCGAATGTCCTGTTTCCTGGGTGTCAGCCGGTTACGCATCCCACCTCGAATTCGGCCGAATTTTTATACCTCTTCTTCATCCTACGCAAAAATAACACGAAGCGGATGACACGAGCGACTGCCGATATTTCTCGAAATATTCATCGGCTCCTGTAACCTGTTGGCGACGGCCACTGACACTGGAAACACTGCTCTCGGTAACGACCTTTCCCTTTTCTTCGTCACGAGACCAACTCTCATTTGCGCACAACAAACGTACGAATAAACAATCTTTCGTTCGCGTATCCTTCGCCACGCTCCTTGCCCGAGCAACAAACTACATCCTTCTGCGGAGCCACCACGCCTTCCACCTCCAAAATCGAAACTCCTGCGTCACTCTGCGTTCCAACGTATATCCTCCCGATATTTACTAATACAACGTATTTCCATCGACGAGAATTCGTTGAACCGGGCACCACGGCTTCGTATTGCCAAACACTGTTGCTTTCCCGCGTGCTCCCACCTTTAGCTTTGTCTAAGTGCGTCTACCGGCGAACAGGCATCTCGAGGCCGCGTGCCGAGCAAAATGCCGGAAGGGAGGCGAATATATATATATATATATGTATGTATGTATGTATGTATGTATGTATGTATGTATGTATATATATATATATATATTATATATATATATATTCTTCCTTCGAAGAAAAATTTTTCCGTTTGTCTCGTTAGTCGCCGTCGTACGGTCGGAACTGAAAAACACGAGGAGGCACGACGACGGGCCGACGTCTCTCTCGGCGACGGCGACGACGACGACGACGAAGACGACGCCGGCGACGATGGGTAGGTTAGGGGGATCGTGCACCGCGCCTGCGTCGTCGACCAGCCGTCCCCACCAACGTCACTCACCACCCGATTACACCGCCCTATCGTATCCCCTCGCCACCCAGTGATAATATTGATAAGGTCCTGCGTCTCTTTCGTTCACCGTGTCACCCTTGTTCCGCGTGGAATCCGATCGGACACGGATCGGGCGAAGAAAGGGGATGGCCGTTGATAATGTGAATTCCTCGGAATGAACGGAGGAAGGGGGAGGGGGAAGAAATTGTTGCTTTGATTATTGCGCTAATTAATTTGCGCTCGATCGAATAACGCTTACTGGTCGATTACTGTGGCTAGGATTTTCGGATATTTTAATATTCCGTGTAATAATATTAGATTAGGGTATTGATATAAAATAGTTTCGATATCGTACACGAAAATTAATATTACCTTTATTTAATAAATAAATTTCTTTCGTTTAGTTTTATCGAGAAAAAGGAAGAGAAAAATTATGCTGGTTTATAAAATGATATATTTTTGTATTCGTAATGTATTTAATTATATCTCTAGATCGCGTCTTGTAGAAATATTGAAAATAGTTTAATTTCTACGATTAATCTACGATGTGTAATTTGACAATTACCTTCACTTTAAAAATTTCTAAACGAATGTTTATCGTGGTTATTTATTTTATTGTATATTTTACTTTGTTGCACCTTGCCGATATATATATATAACTACGGACATTATCTTTTTCTGTTTAATCGTCAGTGAGCTTTGTTATAGCTCATATATGAACGCGAGGTTAATTATAAATCGTTACTAACTATCGTATCTTGACAAAATAGCTATGCAGAAATAAATTAGATATCTCAGAGAAACACTAACTTTTTTTATTTATGATCATTTTGCAAATTGTCTAGATAATTAGCGATTTGTGTATGATAAAATATAACGAAATAATAAATTTTTGAGCGAAGATCTTTATTAACGTATATATTTTTGTCGATAATGATCTTATTTAATATAGTTTTTTTTTACTATATTAACGAAACGATTATGTCAAAAATGAAAATCAATTTTCGTTGTTTGTTTAACATCGTTCAAGAAAATTCGATAAATATCGATATCATCTATCGATACTATTGTTCCAAAGACTACCATTTTGACATCTTTTGTTCAAAGGCAGAATTACAAAGAAGTCAATGTTATAACTTATAAAGACAACAGTTGATATTGTCATCGTACTGTTTTATCGACACAGAATTGTCTTGATCAATTGTAGATATTCGATGTACGTTAATACAGATTTCAAATTTAATTCAAGATTAAAGTCAAAATAATAATAAACTATATGTATTTAATTTTTAAGTAATAATTATTAATTTTATGTAAATTATAATAAATCACATACTAAGATTCATATATTATGTAAATGGAATATATATATGTTCGAATTTCCTCTTTGAAATACAAATTCAAATTCAAATATGATCATTAATTCAAATTAACATTTCAGTTTAATTAGGGAAAAAAACTTTTTCGCGATATAGAACGAAAATGTTATACGATGCCATGACTTACCAATGGAATAACTTCATCCAACGATTTTTCACTCAGTTTCTCGTATCAATCACCATTTTCATCAGAAAAACACGCACACCATAAAGTAGCAACTTTTCATAATCACTAATTATCAAAAAGAAACGATTTACACTCTTTAAACTGGAATTTTCTACGATTGACGTAACTTCGTATCGATGGCGCCAAACGTGTTCACTGTCACAGTTGCGTTCGAAAATGGCGGCGCACGAAATAAGCCGAAGGAGTCGCCACTGGCGTTCGGGTATCTTCGCGAGCCGGCGACTTCGGGAAATACGGGGTCTACCAAACTCGAAGCACGGAGCCCCGCCCTGCCGCCCGCCAGAGCCGTGAAGCAGCAGTAGCAGCAACAGCAGCTCCGCTTGCTTCGTACAGTTTTTATCCATGAAAACATTCGTCTGATCGTCGTATTATTCGACTAGTAATAACTGCTCGCGGTATACGTTGTGCCCGTCTTTGTCGGTACGGTTCACGCAGTGACGGTTAACCTTAAAAAGTAGTGGCAGTCGCGGTGTTGTCGCGAGAGATAGTCTCGTAGTGAAACAGACTTGTTTCGGTCGTTAAGGCGTCGTCGCCGAGTGCATTCGCTCTGTTTCTCGACATTGTTCGAGACGGAGAGGTGTGAAAAGGAAAGTGCATAGTCATCGATGTGAGAAGTCGAGGCTAGGAAGAAGGCCCGCCGCAGCAGGAGGGAGAGAGTGAGGAGCTGTTCGTGGATACGAAAAGCTGATATATCGAGTCGGAAATTTAAGCAACCGTAGGCTCCGTTAGGGAGCTCCAGGTACGATAACAAACTTTTCTTCGCAATAACTCGTAATTCTCTATTTCGAATAAGCGTGAAAACCATTATGACGATTGGCCCTGGTTGGCCCTTCGACTTGATCGGAATAGCCAACATGGCGACCGCCTAGGCTACGCTGTCAAATTTTCCTGTTCCGTCATCGTGGTTATTTTAACATCGGTTACGTTTCCCTCGTATAGTTGGCCGTCTAATATTTCGAATGCAGAAATAACTTTAATAACTTTCTCTATTCATGAAAAATGTTGGTAATTTAGATTTCTCGACTTGTCGATGTGAGTCAGTACCGGCTCCCGCGATAATGAGATTCTTCCTGCTTAAGCCGAACTTTCCTCGTTCAAGAATTTTTCACAATATAAAAGGAATAAAAAGCTCGTTTGATAAGCAACAACAGATTATACAAGATAAATTATATCGTTATTAGAATTTTTGCTTAACTAACGATATCTGAGATTACTACAAATTTACATAGGAGATCAATACTCATTAATTTACATGGTACAAGCGTCAATATTTCATTATCTGTTAATACACGTTTTGTTTTTATTATCAAAATATTTTATGTTTTATCTATAAAATTATCACAATCTTTTTTCTTTTTTTCTTTCTATATTTAACCTTTATTTAATTTATCTTTATGTAATTGTTTATCTTTACGAATTTTTATCAATAATTCAATTTGTTATTAAAAATAAAATCATTACTTGCTCTCGCTTCAATATAAAAAATATTGATAAGATGGCGCGAAACTTAATCATCGAGATATGCTAGATATTGTTGATACTTGTTTAATTGCAAAACGATATAAAAATCGCAATAAAGTGAATGTTGTGTAATGTTACATATGAAGTTTACATAACAAATAAACTAATTTTCTTCGATATTAGAAACACGAATTTACTCTTCGCAAAAACGTGAATCCGTGAGATAAAAATACCACGTTGTGTCTTTATACATCGACTACACGTGTTCTCCAAAAATATGACACTTTCATCATCCAGTATATTTTCTAATTATGATCGTAGAGTTAAACGTTCTAACGTTATAATATTTACGTTATAATTTATATATATATATATACATATATAACAAGAGTTAATGAAATTACAGGCACCTGTTTTTAATTCAAGCATCGCCTTGAAGCTTGTGTCGCGTTTCTAAGAATCGTGAAAGCGATATTTACGTTACCAGTCGTTTTCAAGGTGATCGATCTTAAAAGCGACTCGAACGACCAGAATCGCACGCAATATATCTTCGTTATCGTCGCGTTGTTCCTTTTCCTTCTTCTTTTTTTTTTTTTCTTTTTTACTTTCTTTTTTTACCATACTTTTCAGAGGTTACGTTATTTCCATCGGCAATGAGTCACATGGGAGAAATGAACGACAAAGGAAATGCAATCGGGTGGACGCGAAGACCTTGAATTATTGTCCAATAATTTTGCACTATCGTTTACTATAACATGCTCCGTTTGGAAAGAGAGCGATATCAGGTCAGGAATTTTCTTTTCAAACTTGTGAATTTCTTTCGATGTTATTCTAATTGCTTTTGTTTCTCAACCGAGGTGATAATTCTTTCATAGACTGGTATCAGTTTATCAAATTAACATTATCTCGTTACAACTGTTTGGACACGGTTTCTTTGATAAAGAAGGAACACTAATTGCTTGGATAATTTCTCGGAAGAGTGAAAGAGAGAGCAACTGTACAGGGAAACGGTTGATATTCTCTGCAAACTTTTGATTAAACGGTGTTGACTCATGTACTAACGAACTAAGGAAAAGGAAAAAAGAAAAAAAGGGACATAAGCCAGAGTACAGCAAAGGCTGCGCCGCGATTGGCCGGCCAATTGCTGCAGCAGCTATCTTAATCGTCTTTAATTGGTTCGAAATATAAAGTCGTCGCAGTCTCGAAGACAAGTGGTGTCTTTGGCTCAATTGACAGCGTTCCACTTGTGAAATACGACGTCGATAATATCTGTTATCGGTCTTTTGCACTTTCGATCGAGGAAACGTTGATTACATTCGGCTACAAATGATTCGTTTACCCGATAGATAAAAAATCGCGAGAATCGCTATGTAAATATTTATGATTGACGTCTATGCATCATGGTACCTATATATCGCGATCATTTGTCTCGAATAAAATTCCATCTGGAGAATATTACGAGTTTAATTGCTGTATTTTTCCAAAAAGATTTTATTTCCACTCTAAACAGAGATAAACTGTTTGGTGTAAACTCAACACATGGAAATAATGCTTATCTTTCGTGTCAAATCTTAATGAGATAAGGAGGCATATAAAATCCGAAATATTCTTTCAATAATTTTCAAACTCTTTCACATTTATTTGTTATTAGATGTTTTGCGTATTTTGCCGTTCAATTTGCGAGATACTTTATCAAAGATCTGAGATTAAAATGAATTTACGAAATATCTCATTCGCAGAATCTTTGAAAACAAATTTTTAGTGGGTCTGTGATAGTAAAAAAAGAAAAAGGAATAAATAGTGCTTTTCGTCTAGGATTTGCTAATGGATTTATAAATAAAGCTATCTAGTAAATGCGTATTGTAAACGTAAGAATAGTAGGAGTTAGGTCAGAGCATGCATTCATAAGAACGATTAGTATTTTCAAGAAAATACTTGCTGTATGTGTTACTACATTCTAGAGAATATAAGAATATTGTCATTATTCTTTTTCTTCATTTCTTCTTATATATAAAATAATATTCGGTTATAAATATTGAAAAACAAACCGCAAGATATCTTCTATGAATAATGCATTATCAACATCGCGCCACAAGATAAGAAGTAATGAATAACATTAAACGTGTAATGTCTTAAACTTTGGAAAATAATTCTTTTTTTCTTCTTCTTCTTCTTCTTCTTCTTTGTTTTTTTTTTTTTTAACGACATTCACTTTTAAATATTAAAAAATAAGTGAACGAGATGTCTCGTCGACGGATACAAAAGAATTAATGAGGATCACGTTTCGTAGGACGGTTAGTAGGTCGTCAAGTACTTAGCCAATGCGAAAGTAATGCCAATGACGTACACAACTAGCAAATTCCCTTCTTTCCTGGCACCCTCCAACCCCCTCCGACCCCACTTCATTGCGGGGTCACGTCCTGTTACACGTTCTCCTCGTCCGCCATGAATTGTTCCTTATGCACGTTTAGTGGACGAATCAATGAAAAGGGATCGAAGGAAGGGTTGCTGATTTTAAAAGCTGAGTGAAGTCGAATCAGCTCCTGAAATTCGACAATCGTTAAATTTGTTTCTGTTTTTTCATCGTATGCACTTTGTTGTGAATTAGCGAAAGGGTTCATAGATAAAGTGGAAAAGTGAGTGAGTTAGGATGTAAGAACGATTCGATTTTTTTTTCTTTTTTTTTAAGTTATAGAGTTTTCAATTGGATGCAAGGATTGAATTGAACGTCGATGATAATAACCAGATTAGAGAGGACAAACAAACCTGTTTGTCTTTACAACAGCCCAATTTCCTTTGAACTGGTCCACGAGCCTTCTGGATTCTTGGATAATCCAAACATTCAAATTCCCGCTTTACTCTCCTATCTTCTTCTGACGTCACAGTGATCCGTAAAAATAGCGAAACGATCTGTTTGCAGCCTAATTTCTTAACACATATTTGCATTTCTCGTGATACAGTTTGCATCGTGGAAATTCAATCTTTCATATTCGTATAGATATTTTTATATTCTCTTCATAATATTAGATTAGATATTTGAAGCTCGTTATCGTTCAAGTTACATAAGTTTAATTAAAATACAATTTCATATTTTCAAAAAATCAATTGAATCAATTGAAGATTAAATAATATCTTTCTTTTTCATAGGAAAAACGATCAAGTTTGAACAAGTTTAAAAATATATTTATTCATGAAAATATTTTTTAGATCTTATGGAATCATGCTTGAATTAAGAGGAAAACTAAAAAGCAGAATTATACGATATCCTTAAAGAAATGAATTCATTTTCAAAATGAATTCATCAAAAATCTAATTAATCCGGGTCAAAGATGATCAACGTTAGAAATGAACGAAAAATCTTGACACGAGGAATCCCATATTCAGGTTACTTTCTGACGTCACGGTTCGCATTTTGACGTCATTCACCTGCTCCGTAGATTCTCTGCATCATATCTCTCATCCTGCTCCATCTCGTTCAATTGCTCCGTATACATTTTCTCATTTTACTATTTCAACGTCGAACCACTTTATAGTCTGTAATCTACGAGAAATATACGAATTTTTGATAGCTCGTTACTCTGCGGTTGTGTACCGACCGACAGGGATCCTCGATCGACTCAATTTTTCGCGTAAATATATCTCATCTGCTTATAAAGATCCAACTATACATACAGATTTGGGACATACAATATTTTCTCTAAGAAAAGGCATCGATCGAATCATGTAAAAAATACCCTCCATCGGGTATCTCTTCTTCGCCTTTAGAAAGTAGGGTATACTGGGGATATACGATTGAAGGTTTCAAGATTTCTTTTATTAAAGTAAATCCATAATTTACACTTTTGCTTCGTACAAAAGTGGTACGATCGACGGTACTTTAACCGTGTTGGAAAAAAGCATGTGTGGTTATAAATGGTTAGAATATAGTTTAGATTTATATTACAATCATTATGAATTATACATAGGCTGGTGGTAATCGAAGTTATCTTCTATTCTTTACCTACAATAATTGATGATAATAGCGAGGATACTTTCCCTAATAATCGAACTTTCATTGTGTACGTTCGTAACAAAAGTGCATTAAACGCTTTTAATCAATATTCGATAACCATGAATTAAACGTTCCGTGATTACGTTCGATCATTGTCTACGTCTGTTCGAAGCTTTTAAGGGGAAATCGACCGTCAAAAGAAAACGAACAAGTTCCTCTTTGCGATACCCGTTTGAAGATTGATTGATAGATCGATCGGCTTGCGTCACAATTTATTTTAAACCAACGTGTTCTTTATGCACGTACTATTCTAAGACATTGTGCTAAAAATTGAGAAAAATCGCGTGAAAAATATTCCTGTTCATATTTTGAGTTTAGCACACGTGACAAAGGTCGCTGTAATTTGAGGAGGCGAATATCGTTACTTTAATCGTTCATGAGGATTCGACGAAACAATTCGTGGCCTTTGTTTTTCCGCTCTTGTTCAAATTGATAAAAAGTTTATTAACGTGACCAAAAGTCCCAGCCACTTTTGCCTGGCTGCAAGCTGATCCTCCTCGATTCTACGCGCTCGAAAAGTAGGTCATGCTGATGTGAATTACAGTCATCAGCTGTAATACCACAATATCATTCCGTAGACAGAGCCAGTTCCGCGGTAACGAAGCCTCTTTATCTAAGAATAGTTTGTAATTAATATCCTTAGTATCTATTTCATCGTAACCATTTCACACGTAACCATTCTCCTTTCTATTATAATTTCTAAATTACATAACGGAACCACTTTTATCTTCAAAAGAATAATCTAAAATTTCCTAAAAAAAGAAAATTACATACTTTCTTCCAATCTCTTTTCTTCTATGAGAAAGATACCTTTTTCATCTCGAGGACATTGACATAATCTTTAGAAGAATCTCGTGCAACGATTTACTTTCCTCTTCTTTCAAGGAAGAAACAAGTAGAGGAACAACAAGTGCAATATCGGAAATCAAATATTTTCACGACGCCTGTGTGCGATTTTGGCAGAAATGATTCTCCTCCTTCGTAGTTGAGGAACGAATAAATAAACACTGTGTTATGTGTACTGGAAATAAAGGTAGAGGCGAGCATTCATTGGAACGAACTCTTGGCAGGTGCAATGCCAACAGGCGTCCCAACCACGATCGTCGACACACGTTGCACGTTGTCGTCGTTCAGTTAGATCTTTTCGTGGCTTCTCCCATTCTTTTTCGTCCGTTGTAAAAACCGTTGGGCCGTGCCAGGGACTTGGTCGAAGTGCATGCTTGGTGTGAGGTACTTGGCAGCCTCGCGGTTGTATACAGCCGGGACGAAGCAGATGGGGAGAGAAGAGAGAGAAAGAGAGAGAGAGAGAGAGATCGTATTGGACGTTGACCCGCGTGGTTCAACTGTTGCTCCCATTCGTGCATCCGGGAACGCGTGTAGAAAGGCCTGGGGATCCCTATGATAGAAAACTCTTCTGTTAGATAGGTCTAACCAGCCTCCCCCACCGATGAGTCTGAAGAATGACAAAGCCAGACGATCCGCACGTATGCTATGGTGTAGAGAAAAATGTTGGTTACTTATTCCCTTGATAAGATTAAGAAGAATATAGGTCGAACGTGATAGACTCGAGGTTTTCTCTGTTGCATTTAACGAAGATGTTCTGGATCGTTAATTAAGCATTCTTACTGCGATCTGTTCTAGTTGCATGGGGATTATTAGAATTGTGTAACGTAGTTGCAACTTTGCGATAGTGTAGATGTGGTCTCGTTTCATATATACTGTTAAGTATTTTGTTCTATCGTTCGTAGGCAATGGTCGACACGTAATATCAACTTCTCGAAGATTAATGGAATATTATAGCACTTGGCGTACTACAAGGATCAATGATACTTCGAATACTAGATAACATTTCAAATTGCTTGCTATCTAATTTTGTTTGGCAACGATATAACGTAAAATCTTCCAAGATTTAATGTAATACGAAATGATTTAACATCTTATAATTTTCAGTACAGTATATTTTGATTAAAAAAAATCATATGATTATAAATCAAATTAATTTTGTACAAAAAATCATTACAATATAAATACAAACAAAAATATCAGCAAAAAATGATTAATCAAAAAAGAAAAAAAAGTTCTACTATTAGATACATAAAATAGGGAAATAAAAATATTCGTTTCTATGATTCAGCGAAATTTTCAAATAACAAACCTATATGATTTCCTGAATGCTAGCAAATGTATATTTCTTAAAATAGTTCCAGGGTTATCTGGAAGACCAAGATGACCAAATATTTAGAACATATACCTTCGATTCTGCATTTATTTTCCAAGAAACTAATCCCACGTTAATCCCTCCCTGTTCGAATCGATCACACCAAGTCTCTCCAAGGATCGTGTTAAACAGCGATTAATACGATCTCTGAACATGCTACCGCCAACGGCAACCTGTCACACGACCGACAATGGCGTCGTGGCGACGCCGGTAGTCAGTCGGTACACGGGCGCCGTGGCGCCAGCGTCGCTCATCCCTTCCCTCTGTCCGTTTCATCTGCCCAGGCGGTCTTCTCTCGAAACCACGTCCTCCCTGGGTGTGGTTCGAAACTGTGTCTCGAAGTTTGTGTCCAGTTTTCATCGTACCTCGGGTCTTCTCTTTATACGAATCTCAAGTTTTTTATCCAGCTTTCGAATCATTCAGGAAGATACACATTGAAGATACATACTCGCGTATGTACTCTTTTACCGAGCGTGCATACAACAGACGAAGAAGGATAGTGTGGGATAGCGAACGATAGAGGGAGAAGTTTAAGGGAGAAAAGGAGAGGGTGAAAGCGCGTGAGTGAAAGAGAAAGATAGACTAGTGGGGCGAGCCACGACTCTTCATCGATTCGTCGCTTCCACGGTTCTGTGAACGCGGCATGAAAAGAAAGCTAGCACCACCAATGGCCGCATTTGACCGCTTCTTGTGCGTGTGCGTACCTGTGTTCGATTCCTGCTAGAAAAGTGCTCTTTCTTCCGGTTTTCTCTTGGACGCTTCTGCTAGTTGCTAGCGTTCCATCGACGGCGCAATCTGGCGGTAGACGACGGGTTCAGAGAGGCCACCCTTTACTCTCTGCACGAACCTTCCACGCAGAGAGGTTATGTTTGTTCGGGATTCATGACGCTCTGACAGGAGTGGAAGGCGGACGGAGCGGGTGAGTGCTGCTGGATCTTATGCGTCTTTTTCGTATAATTTGGTGCATCTTGCAAAAATTTTATACATTTTTTATTAAGCTAAAGATATAGTGATTGGAAAAAATGAATTATAACAAAGAACGTTAGTCGAGTTATTTCAAAAAATTTATTAGAAGAAATTTTTTATTCTTGAAAGTTTATTAGAGATCGAAGGAAAAGTTCATCAAGGTTTCTTTCTTTTTACGAGTTTTTCTTCCTTTTTTTTTTTCTTTTTTTTTTTTCTTTTTTTCCTTTTAAACACTCAGTATTATATTTCGTTTCACGGTGTTTGCTCATGCGCCAAATGATTCCATCGGTTCCGGAAAATGAGAACACCTTGCGTTAGATCGACAACCCTTAGGTTCCCCGGGTTGTGAGACCTTTTGGAGGTGAAGGACACTCGTTGCCACGAAATTTCAATGTAGTTTAAAAAGTTAAGTTGTCGATGAGACTGCTGCTCACATTGAATGAGTGTTATGTTAAATATTGATTAAAAATCGAAGAAAATATGTTTGGTAGAAAGAAGAACAGGAAGTATGAATCCTTTTAAATTGTTTAGATTTTTCAACAAGTTAGTACATTATTTTGGTCCAGACGGTAATTGATTCGTTAGTTAGTTAAAAATAGCACTTAAAACATGTAATACGACTCTCTTTGCGTACATGTTTCATAAAACAATTTCTTTTTCGATAAATAATAAAAGAAATATCAACATTGGATTTAGAAAAAAAAGACAAAACAATTCACATAAATTTAGAATACTATATTATCCTATTCAACAATTAAAGTTTAATGACATTCCATTAATATGGAAACAAAAAATCCACAAACAAAAAAAACATATTGACACGAAATATGTTATGACAGAATAATCAAAATTGATTGTGTATTTCTTCTGATAATAGTGTGAAATATAAAATTAATATAAATATATCAGAATTTTACTCGATATTACTATCCAATGTTGAAATCTTTCGATCATTATCTTAATATCTCACAACTCAAAGTTGAGTATTATTAAAATTTTTATCTTATATTCTTTTATAACAGTCAGTTATCCAAATGATTAATCTTAAACCTATTCTTATGAATCATCATTTGATCCAATAAGCTTAAGTCAATCAATTCTTTAACCTTTGAAAAACTCTTGTCTCCTAAGCTGTTTGATTTAAAGAGAAAAAAATTCTTGAGAGGCAATTACGAGCAATTTCTGTGATTCTGCTTTCAGGGGTGGCAACGGTCTCGCTAGGAGGTATCGAAGCTGGCGCGTGGGGCGGGAGAGTCAGCGGTGGTCTGGCTCTGGTTCCGGTGGTAGCGGCGGAAACGGAAGCCGCGACAGCAACAGATCAGAGAGAACGACTGGGAAAGGCTGGTGCGACCCGCTGGAGAAGGAAATTCGATCGTCTTCTATTTTCTACCTTTCCTATCATCCCTGGTGGTGGAAAATTCGAGAGCGTCTATCTGCCATCGAAGAAAGCGTCGACGGCGTGACACTGGGCCCCAATCACCTTCGAGCAAGAAGGCATACGAAATAGGATTAATCCATTCCTGAAAAATCACATTTTAGGCTTTGTTGGAGGTGTACCACCTCCTCCTCGAGAAACTCCCTTTTCCACCCTTCACGGGTAGTCACGCTTAGCGCATCATTAGACAGGCATCATGAGCAGCGAGCTCGAATCCCTACGTCAGGAATCGGACAAGCTGAAAAATGCCATTCGAGTAAGTTGATTCTCATTGAGAATAGGTAATTTATATAGGTATTTTTTTTTTTTTTTAGATAATTTTTAGAAGGCGAACTTAATTTTCAGGGATAAAAGGCAATGTTAATCAATGTGTATATTCATGTCCAAGCTTACAAGATGAATGAAAATTATTTTAGCAGATAGTTTCGTTTAAATCATAAAGTATTTGAAGAATAATTTTAAGTATATAATTGTTACAAAATATATATATATAAATGAATTATTTATATAGCTGTTCACAATTAATTCGTTTCATGGTATTAACTAAGCACTATGGAATTTCATATCGCGACTGTTTCCTGTCAATAAATTATCTGTAAACCGTAAGAGATAGTATTTTCGTGATAATATTAGGCGGTGAGTCTCGTTTTAATTTCGATATTTAATATCTTATATAATTAGAGATTTCTATTGATTCCAATAATCTCTTAACTATGGGCTACGTAAGCTAATTAAAATTTTAACATTTTGTATATTCTCCTTCTTTGCCGGCAATTTCCAAAACATCGAGAACAAAGCAACAGTTCTACATGCAACAGCGGTACATTGTCTTAATAGAAAAAAAGTCTAGGGCGTCTCTCAACTCGAAGTGCACTTGGCATTAAACAACCGACCCTTATTCTCTCCCTAACGAGCCAGTAATTTTTTATTTTTTATTTTTTATTTTATCCGATCCCAGAGGATTGAAAAATCACAAACTATTGTTTATTAAAACAATACTCCTTTCTTATTATTTTACTCTTCAATTATATTTCTAATTTCTTTTAAATTTTAAAAATCAATATTCGATATTACTTAGAGCATCTATAAAGAACAGTGTAAGATCGTCAACTTTATTTGCTCGAAATTTGACCAAAATTGAACCACACGATAACCATGTGTAATTTTGACATATAAAATCGAAAAATATTCTTGTATATTCCATTCATACTATCAATTACATTATATAGATTTTCATTTTAAGAAGCAAGAAAAAAAAACCTATTTTCAGAATCATATAATTTCCTAAAAATCATTCATATTTTTTTTTTTTAATTATCAACTCTTCGATCATCGAATGATCATTGTCGATGAGAGATGATCTATAAAGATGATCTATAAATTGATTCGATTCTTACCATTTAGAAAATACTTGTCGATGACAATCGGTGAATTCTTTACTACCTATATGGTGGTGGAAACATGAAACTCATTGTCAGAGGTGGTAGTGATGTAGCGTGTGGTGGTGGTAGGGCGCGGCATAACCGTCGCTTCACTCTGATCAATACGCCACCGTTCCTTCTCTCTCTTGCTCGATCTATCTCTCTCTTTTTCTCTCTTACCCGTTTACTCACGTTCTATCTTGTTCCTCCTCACCACCTGTTTCTCTCTTTCACCCTTCTTCGTGCGTGCGTGAAATTACACGCATCGTCAGGCGTGCACGGTAATACGCGACCGTAATACGTAGAATGTACGTTCTTAAATACCCTGTAACAGTATTTCCATAATTTATACATGCCTCTTCTTTCATGCTCGTTTAATTGAACAGTCGAGAATAATTCGATGCGAATACTGGAAATAGTACCAAAAAATGATCATTTTCATTATGTCAGCGCAAAACAATGTTAATTAGGATCCTTAAAGCGACCCGTAAATGCTTCTACTGTTAAGCGCATCATTGCATTCTGAGTCATCTGAACAGTCTGAAGAGCATTTAAAATCTAGAATCCGTTTGCAAATTGTGCATTCGTTTTTGAAATTTATCAGAATTTTTTAAATTAGTTCGTTAGCGCGTTTAATTGCGACATTTGACGTTTTGTTTTCAATTGGGTTTGAACAAAATTTGTTGATGTAAGGCCAATTAAATGATTCTTTATTTAAAATACATTCACTTAATAATGTTTTGGAAGTAATTAATTTTTTTTTTTTTTTGCTGAATTGAAATTTATCGAGCCAATCTTTTATATATATTTTTTTATATCTGTTTTTCAGGATGCCAGGAAAGCAGCTTGCGATACGACGTTGGTTCAAGCCACGTCGGGCATGGAGCCTATCGGCCGGATACAAATGCGTACGAGACGCACACTTCGTGGTCACTTAGCCAAGATTTATGCCATGCACTGGGGCAGTGACTCAAGGTATCTATGGATTTTTTTGATTTTAAATATATTTCTTATCTGTTTAAAGTGAAAGAAAAATATTCATATATACTTTTTTTTCATCGAATTGACAGAAACTTAGTGTCAGCGTCGCAAGATGGAAAATTGATCGTTTGGGACAGTTATACCACCAACAAAGTTCATGCAATCCCTTTGCGCTCCTCATGGGTGATGACCTGTGCGTACGCACCATCAGGTAGTTTCGTAGCCTGCGGTGGGCTGGATAACATTTGTTCCATCTATAGTCTAAAAACTAGGGAAGGAAATGTAAGAGTTAGCAGAGAACTCCCAGGTCACACTGGGTACTTGTCTTGCTGTCGATTTTATGACGACAACCAAATTGTCACTAGTTCTGGCGATATGACTTGGTAAGCAACATTTATTTTTATTATATTTATAATTTTTATCTAATCGTTTTTGATCTAAATCGTTTCTAATTGGCACTTATTTGCATAACAATTCCGCTGAACATGGATTTATATTTTATTTCGTTTAGGGAGATGATTTAAAAATGAATATAAAATAAAAAGATGTCCCAGCCTTTTCCATCCTTTCCCTTATTGTTTCCAGTTTTCATCCTTTGATCGGTAATTATATAGCGTGTAAAAGTATGTGGACTGTGTCAAAATATTATGTCTCTTCTTTTTGATCAGTGCCCTGTGGGATATAGAAACTGGTCAACAATGTACCTCGTTTATTGGACACACGGGTGATGTTATGTCCCTGTCCTTGGCTCCCGACACACGCACATTCGTATCTGGTGCGTGTGATGCTAGTGCAAAGTTGTGGGACATTCGTGAAGGAACTTGCAAACAAACTTTTCCAGGCCATGAGAGCGACATAAACGCTGTTACGGTAAATTTTATTCTTTTTTAAATATCAATTTTCTAGATAAATTTTCTTTCTGCGTATAGAATTCGGCACAGTAGTCGTTCACACGATAAAGGAAAATCAGAGATTTTAATGGAGAATTTCATTTTATCAATTCAGTTCTTCCCGAATGGATACGCTTTCGCGACGGGTTCAGATGATGCAACGTGCAGACTTTTCGATATTAGGGCAGATCAAGAACTGGCGATGTACAGTCACGACAATATTATCTGCGGTATCACTAGCGTAGCGTTCAGCAAGAGCGGTAGATTATTGCTGGCCGGCTACGACGATTTTAATTGCAACGTTTGGATTCCATGAAGGCTGAACGAGCCGGTACGTTGTTTTCGTTTAATTTCAAAAATTATCTTTAGAAGAGAAGAGAAACGTTATTTTAAGCCCTTCTCTTTTATTTTCATCTCTATTTTTCTCTTTTTAACTAACACAAGAAATGGCACTAATTAAAATTATTTCAACTTGGCAGTATTTTTATTTGAAATTATCGAAAGTATTGCTTACGTTCATCATATAGAAAAATACAGCAAAAAAGTGAACTGTTTCGAAATGCTTCCTTTTATTTTACAGGAATTCTTGCCGGTCACGATAATCGTGTGTCTTGCCTCGGCGTTACGGAGGATGGTATGGCAGTAGGGACGGGCTCATGGGACTCATTTTTGCGTATTTGGAACTAACTTGGGGTTAATCCCAAGACGTTCCTCCACAGAACCAACTACAGCCAATCAGCATACAGTATAAGCATCAAGTACCACCACTTGGCCACCGAAGTCGGCGTGTCCGTGTCCTCAACGGAGGCGAATTATTCGCCCGGTTCACCGGAGTTGACGTTGATCAGAAAATTTGGACATCCGTTAGACAACAACAGTAAAAAAACCCACGGCAGTAGCAGCAGCAGCGGCAGCGAATTTAAGAACGTTTTGGGTTGTGGTGGTAAAAAGGACTACCGGAAACGCGTCGTCGATTTAACCTGGCGACGTGGCAAAGTCGGCGATAAAATCACTCATGAATATCAGCGCTTCTAGTATATGGATATACCGTTTGTTCGATATATTCGAACGTACGACTGATGATGATGATGATGATGATGATGATGATCGAGAAAGAAGCGTGGTGAAAGGAAGAACGACAGAACGGAGAGCAGCACCAAGGCTGACAGCCATATCTCTCCGATGTCGTGCGCGTTGCTTCCTTTTTCTCCTCCCCTTTCTCAAGGACTATTTGGCAACTTCGAAGAGTACGTGCTGTTGATATATACATATATATATACATATATATATATATATATATATACATATATATATATATATATATATATCTTGATAGCATCTTCTCGAAGATCTTCCCGAATTCGAAGGTTGAAATAAGAATCGATTCCCGACACTCCTCATCCGAGGTCTACGTCGCTGGAAGCGTTTTATTATTATG